GTGATCTTTTGACGTATCGTTGAAAGAAATCGGTTCGGTGAGAGCTGAGAAAAAGTGGTAACAGACACAAAAAAAAAAACATAGTAAAACCAATACCTTCTCAGCTTCGCATCGAAGCTAAAATATAATAATTATATTTTTTTTGTTATTATATGATTTATTTTAAAAAATGTATGCTTAATCTTCTTATTATTTTTTTAATCTATATCAGCTATACTTTGTATTAATTCAAACTTAAATTTGACTAGTGTTAATTGTGAAAATTGATATAATAAGAAAACTACATTTAAAGTATTATTTTTATATTTAGGCCCGAGAAGTAGAGTGGCGAGATATACCTAATAATAATAATAATATAACACACACCACACGTCTGACCTTAGATTTTTTTCATGTTAATGATTCAATATTTTTTAATTAAATTATAATTTTTAAAATTTCAGACAAGAAAACAAAGAAATGAATCTGAAAGCGAAAATAAAGAAAAAAATCCTTTATCAATTAGTTTAATAGATACTGCTGAAAATATAATAACTGATCTTAAACAGTTACAAATTCGCCCCCATTTGTGTTATAGGAATATTCATCTAGAGCCCATAAATTTGTATCATAAAGTTGGTTATGGAAGATTAGATATGTACATTTTAAATCCTCCCAAAGACAGCAAAGAAGTTAAAGATTTTTTAATAAAATGGAATGAAGGTGATCAAAAAATGTATAATTCTACTAAAGAACTGTTTATTCCTCTACCAAACATAATTTCAATTTGTTCATTGTTAGTTTGGCAACCTGCTAATCCTAACATTACCATAACAAGAATTTTATTTCCTGGAAGTTGTCCTCAAATTAAGATATTTGAAGCTCTTGAAAGAATAAAACATTTAGAGTTTTTAAAACATCCGTCTTGTTCTATTAAATCAATGAGTTCAACAGTTTTATTGACAAAAAGTATATCATCTAAAAAAACAACTTTTGATAAATTGATACTTAAAGATACAAAGACAAAAAAAAATATGAAAAATTTGGAACTAGTAAAAACAGTTAATCCTGTTGTTCAAACTTCAATCGAATCTACAACACCCAAAGATAATTTGATTTCAAATCTAAAAAATGATACAAAAAAGAAACAATTATCAAAAAATACAGAATTGGAAATTAAAGTTAAATGTAAAATAGATTCAACGAGTGACATTAGTGAAATGAAACTTAAATCGAAAAAATTACAACAAAACGTTGAAAGTACAAAACAATTGACAAATTCAAACAATGATTACATAAATAAGGAAATATCCCCCAAGAATAATCCCTTAATTTATAAAAATATAAAATTAAATACAGACACATCATTGACATCATTAAAAAGTAATTCGAAATCTACAACTACTATTTCAAAAATAAAAAAAGAAGAAGACAATCGTAGAAAAATAATATTATCAAAAGTGAATTCTAGTGTGAAAAAAAATACTAAATCAAAAACGCAAACAGCGATTACTAAAACACAAGAGGGAATACTTGGAAACGAACCACGTGCTATTTACAAATCTAGTATTGTGAGTTCTAAAACTAATGGAGAAGAAGATGACGTATTAATTATAGAAAAGGTATTAAAAACACCTCAAAAATCAATAACAACAGATGATAAACAATTGATTGAAAACGAATTAGATACAATAATTACAGAAGCAGCGAAATTTATTAGCAAAGAAATAACACAAAACAATGCNTGATTACATAAATAAGGAAATATCCCCCAAGAATAATCCCTTAATTTATAAAAATATAAAATTAAATACAGACACATCATTGACATCATTAAAAAGTAATTCGAAATCTACAACTACTATTTCAAAAATAAAAAAAGAAGAAGACAATCGTAGAAAAATAATATTATCAAAAGTGAATTCTAGTGTGAAAAAAAATACTAAATCAAAAACGCAAACAGCGATTACTAAAACACAAGAGGGAATACTTGGAAACGAACCACGTGCTATTTACAAATCTAGTATTGTGAGTTCTAAAACTAATGGAGAAGAAGATGACGTATTAATTATAGAAAAGGTATTAAAAACACCTCAAAAATCAATAACAACAGATGATAAACAATTGATTGAAAACGAATTAGATACAATAATTACAGAAGCAGCGAAATTTATTAGCAAAGAAATAACACAAAACAATGCTAACAAAAGCAATCAAGAACTTGAAACAATGAAAAACAACAAAAAAGAGAAAAAAAGTATTAATGATCNGAAAAACAACAAAAAAGAGAAAAAAAGTATTAATGATCAAGAATATATAAAGACACCAGATGAAGTAGCAGATTTACCATATTACGAAGAAACAGATTTTGATAAAAATATCAATCAAAGTGAACACATAAACGAAAATTTAAAAAAATCACATATTAACAACGTTGCACCTAAAATATCAACAAACTTCAAGCATCAAAATATAAAAGGAAAAAATATTGAAATAAATCAGTTAGAAAATGAAAAACAGTATGAAACGATTAATAACATAAAAGATATAAAAAAAGAATCTAACAGTATAAATAATATTGAAGAGGCTTCAAACAAATCTGATCTAAAAACCTACGTCATCCATGAAGAAATTCTTAAAAATGATATAAGTGATAGAGGAAACTCAAAACAAAAGAACAGAATAGAATCTCCAACAAAAAATAATGTTGTAGAAACAACAAAGGCAAAATCTTTTGATCAACCTGCAGAAATATCCAAAATTAAAAGTAGAAAAAGCTCGATTCAAGACGTCAATGATGATTCTCTGGAACCAACAAATATATCTAGTAGAAAAACTTCTGACGCCCTTGATGAAATATCAAATACTCCAATTATTAGTGAAAGTACTAAAGTATCAATTCAAGAGACAATATATCATTCTCCAATTAAAGATAATGTTTTAGATAACACAAATACGTCATCTGTAAAATCATCGGACGGTCATGAAGAAATACTGAAAATTGAAAGTAAAAAAAGCTCGATTCGTGAGTTCAATGATGATTCTGTAGAACCAACAAATATATCTAGTAGAAAAACTTCTGACGCTCATGATGAAATATCGAATTCTCCAATTATTAGTGAAAGTACTATAGTATCAATTAATGAGGTTAAAGATAATGTTTTAGATAACACAAATACGTCATCTGTAAAATCATCTGACGGTCATGAAGAAATACTGAAAATTGAAAGTAGAAAAAGCTCGACTTGTGAGTTCAATGATGATTCTGTAGAACCAACAAATATATCTAGTAGAAAAACTTCTGACGCCCTTGATGAAATATCGAATTCTCCAATTATTAGTGAAAGTACTATAGTATCAATTAATGAGGTTAAAGATAATGTTTTAGATAACACAAATACGTCATCTGTAAAATCATCTGACGGTCATGAAGAAATACTGAAAATTGAAAGTAGAAAAAGCTCGACTTGTGAGTTCAATGATGATTCTGTAGAACCAACAAATATATCTAGTAGAAAAACTTCTGACGCTCATGATGAAATATCGAATTCTCCAATTATTAGTGAAAGTACTATAGTATCAATTAATGAGGTTAAAGATAATGTTTTAGATAACACAAATACGTCATCTGTAAAATCATCTGACGGTCATGAAGAAATACTGAAAATTGAAAGTAGAAAAAGCTCGACTTGTGAGTTCAATGATGATTCTGTAGAACCAACAAATATATCTAGTAGAAAAACTTCTGACGCTCATGATGAAATATCGAATTCTCCAATTATTAGTGAAAGTACTATAGTATCAATTAATGAGGTTAAAGATAATGTTTTAGATAACACAAATACGTCATCTGTAAAATCATCTGACGGTCATGAAGAAATACTGAAAATTGAAAGTAGAAAAAGCTCGACTTGTGAGTTCAATGATGATTCTGTAGAACCAACAAATATATCTAGTAGAAAAACTTCTGACGCCCTTGATGAAATATCGAATTCTCCAATTATTAGTGAAAGTACTATAGTATCAATTAATGAGGTTAAAGATAATGTTTTAGATAACACAAATACGTCATCTGTAAAATCATCTGACGGTCATGAAGAAATACTGAAAATTGAAAGTAGAAAAAGCTCGACTTGTGAGTTCAATGATGATTCTGTAGAACCAACAAATATATCTAGTAGAAAAACTTCTGACGCCCTTGATGAAATATCAAATAAATCAATAATATGTGAAAGTACTAATGATTCAATTCAAGAGGCAAAAGATAATTCTCCAATTAAAGATAATGTTTTAGATAACACAAATACGTCATCTGTAAAATCATCTGACGGTCATGAAGAAATATCGAAAATTGAAAGTAGAAAAAGCTCGATTCGTGAGTTCAATGAGTATTCTGTGGAACCAACAAATATATCTAGTAGAAAAACTTCTGACGCCCTTGATGAAATATCGAATTCTCCAATTATTAGTGAAAGTACTATAGTATCAATTAATGAGGTTAAAGATAATGTTTTAGATAACACAAATACGTCATCTGTAAAATCATCTGACGGTCATGAAGAAATACTGAAAATTGAAAGTAGAAAAAGCTCGACTTGTGAGTTCAATGATGATTCTGTAGAACCAACAAATATATCTAGTAGAAAAACTTCTGAAGCCCTTGATGAAATACCAAATAAATCAATAATATGTGAAAGTACTATAGTATCAATTAATGAGGTTAAAGATAATGTTTTAGATAACACAAATACGTCATCTGTAAAATCATCTGACGGTCATGAAGAAATACTGAAAATTGAAAGTAGAAAAAGCTCGACTTGTGAGTTCAATGAGGATTCTGTGGAACCAACAAATATATCTAGTAGAAAAACTTCTGACGCTCATGATGAAATATCGAATTCTCCAATTATTAGTGAAAGTACTATAGTATCAATTAATGCGATTAAAGATAATGTTTTAGATAACACAAATACGTCATCTGTAAAATCATCTGACGGTCATGAAGAAATACTGAAAATTGAAAGTAGAAAAAGCTCGACTTGTGAGTTCAATGATGATTCTGTAGAACCAACAAATATATCTAGTAGAAAAACTTCTGACGCCCTTGATGAAATACCAAATAAATCAATAATAGGTGAAAGTACTAATGATTCCATTCATGAGGTTAAAGATCATTCTCCAATTAAAGATAATGTTTTAGATAACACAAATACGTCTTCTAGAAAATGTTCAATTAATTCTCGCATTGTTGATCACATCCATTGTTCATCATTTGATGAGAAATGTTTATTTAATGATTTTGGGACTGATTCTTGTGGTGCATTAAATATTAATAATAAAAATGTTAAGACTGGTATAATTGCTCAAATATTTGAATGTGATTCTACACTTGAATGTGCTGATACGTTTTCTGTGATAAAAAATGATATTAATGATGAGTTGAATGCAATGAGTGAACAGACTGACTTTGAAAAAAAATTTGTAATTTCCCATAATGTTGATGAAGTAAAGAAATCTAACTATGTCGTAAACTGTGAAAGTGCTTTAGATGACATTAAAGCTAAGCAATCATTGGGAGTTAATTTAAATAATGACGATCTAGGCATTACAGAGGATGATGTTATGCAGTTAAATATAGATGTCAAAAATACTTTGAATCAATGTTTTTATGTTGAAGATCAACACAATGAAGATAGAAAAGAATTAATTCTAGTTAAAAACGACATAGTTGAAGAAAAACATAATAAGATTGACTATCCTTCATCTAGTGATGATTCTAATTTAGAATTGAATAGACTTATGAATTTAGATAACCGTCGATTAGATAATGAGTTTGATTTTAAAAAAGCTTTAGAAGAACATAAAATAGCCAGAGGTGAGGATTTTTCGAGTGTTACAGTAAACACTGGTAATAATATTAATACTAAAATTAGTGAATCAGATCACGATAATATTAATCAGAATCAAAGTTCATCTTCAAATACAGTTGAAACTTGGGGTAAACCTCTCAGTTTACCCCCTGTACAAATTACTAACAATAATGGACATAATATAATTCGAGATTGGGATAAGCCATTGAAACTCCCATCGCCTATTCTTTCTGTTAACGAAACAACCTCAAGTAATAACTTAAATTTATCTCCGAAAAAAAACATTTTAAAATCAATTGATAACAAGCCAATAATAAGTGTTAAAGGTGAGCTAAATTTCATTGCATATTCGTAATCATACAACTCTTATATTATTATTTTTTAGATAAAGATATGCATAATCGTATAAAACGTTCAAATTCTCCTATAAAAGATAGAAGTCGGTCATCAAGTCGAGTCACAAAAGTAAATCCGGTATATTTTGATTTGATATATGTACCTAACTTCGGAAATTCAAAATTTGTAACTGTGGACTTCTTTAAACGCATAAGAGCTAGGAACTATGTTTTTAGTGGTACTGATTCAAATAAAGAAGTGTTAAATGCATTAATTGAGGGAAAACAAACATGGGGAGATCACAATCTCGGTAAATATTATAACATTATTCATGTATTATTGTAATCTGTTAACTTTTATTGTGTTTAGAGGTAACAATTATTCCAACTTACGATACTGAAACAATGAGTCAATGGGCTATTGAAAATGAAGAAATATTAATCAAACTCAAAATTGATATAAGTCCAAGCGCAAGTCGATGCACTATAAAACTTCAAGATCATAACACAAGCTGTTCTGCATATCGATTAGAATTTTAAAAACATGGTATTAGGTAAAAAATTGGTCAACAATAGCGCATTTGAAATTAATATCATCCAAAAATTTGGTATTAAGTAATAAAATGTCTGTTTTTTTTTCAATTCGTAAAGTTATTAATATTATTAATCTTAACGAAAGCTTAAATAATTGCTTCTATTCAAGTTTATATTTGCTATCAAATTACATTTATTGAAATTCTGTAATTAAGCATTACATTTTTTTTATAACTAGCATTATTAGAACTTTGACCCTGGAACTGCTGTTAGGCATTACTTCAGGGCGGCAAGCACTAAATACAAGACTGCAAAATCCATCCTACATTTTTATTTACATATATTTTTTAATATATACATACAACGAGTAAATTTGTAGAAACTAAAAAATTAGGAAACATTTATACAATCATTTTTAATAAATACAAGATGTTTCATACTATTCCATTTTTTTAAATTACTTTAGTTATATTAGTAGAACTATTATTGAAGTTTAATATTTATTTTTATTTATCGATTATATTAATTTTTTCATACAATATATATACGAATTTTTATGGGAAGAAGCAATATAAATATGTATTAGTTTTTCTTTTTATTATGAGAAATTATTTCGACGTTGTTTTTATGTATTTAAAATATAAATTTGTGTTATTACCCTATTAAATTTCAACGACTTTTATAAAATAATATGAATTAATTATTATATTGTACTATTAGTGATCAATAATTTTTACTAAAAAAATGTAAATTATCATTAATGAAATATTTATTACCTTAGAAAGTAATTTAAATGTTTTAAAACTTTTTCATTTTACTGATTAGATGACATTATTGAAAACTAAATATTATTTGTTATCAATGACCATATTAGCTCATTCAAACAATCAGTAGCATTTGAAAGGAATAAATTTACTCGAAGATTTTAAGTTTCATTTGTCTGAAAAAATATTTTACATTAAGTGACTAATAACGAATGCTTTGACTAGGAAGTTGAAAGTCTTTTAAAAATCATTTTTAATGTAATACCTTAATTGTTATTCACATCAAGTATTTTTAATCAATCAATACAAATATAATGAATTTTCATTTTATAAGTTCCTATTAAAACTCTTTTTAATTATCTACATAATTTAATAGAAAAGTATTATGAATAACTATCGAAGAAAGCATAGTTGTCAAGTAATATATTTTTAATTATAAATGTACATTTTTTTGGAAATGTATACATTACTAATTGAAGCCAAAAAGCCACATAGGTTTATTCAAAAGTATTTTTATGATTGTGAACTAAATTTTATTATTAAAGAAAAATTTAATTTCAAAACTTTTAAAAAGCAGATATAACTGCATATGGTGAAAGTAAAATTGAAATTATTTAATAAATTCATTAAGAATGAGAAAATTAATACATACCTATTATATTATTTTATACCAAATCTAGTTTTGAGCTATGTAAAATATCCAACAATGTATCATTTTTTAATAGTCTATTTGTATTGCTTTAAACTTTTTATTTGGTGCTGCATATTATCCATACTATTTTATATTATTATGGTAACATTTCGTTTTTCCTTTTTTTAAAATTAAATGTTTTCATCAATATATATTAGTAAATATAATTTTTATTTTAACTTTGCATAAAAACTTTATGTACTTCTAACAAAATATTTGAAATTGGTGCTATATAGCTATATACATGAAGGATGAAGTCTTATTTGACTTGAGGAAAAGCGTGATTTTCATACTAACCATAAACTCAATTCATTAATTGGATAGTTTTATTATTATATTACATGGTATAAATTGTAGTGTTTTAATAAAAGTTAATTTTTATTTATTTAACTTGTTAATTAAAATGTATTACTTTTGAATAATTTGTATCTCATAGGTAATGAATTTTTTTTATTATTATTCAAAATAAGTAGTAAATAACATGTATATAATAAAAATAGAACACAATTTTGTTCTTTTATTTATTTTTAAGTATACTTGGAAGCATTTTTTATAAAGTATAAATATATATTTTTTGCTTTCTGATAGTATAACATAATAAAATAATGCAAAAAATGTTTGAAAGATTCGATTTTTATGTAAGTGTTGACATTAAATTCGTTAAAGTTCTATTCTCAAGTACTACACTTCTGAATTTGATTAGCATTAAAATAAAAATATATGTTAGCAGAGGCGGACTGAGTTAATATAATAACTTGGTCAACAAAAACAAAATATAGTATTGAATAAACTCAAAAACAATATCTTTATAAAATTAGTTAATTAACACAGTTCATTTTAAATTTAATATTCGTAAATTATAAATCTATCAGCTAATAATTAAAAAAACAGATATGATGTTACCGTTTAAGTTAATCCGCTTTTGTGTTAATATTATAATTGCATTTAACAATATAAAGATGTTTAAATATTGCTTTATTGTACGCAAATTATCATAAGTTTTGATTGTACTACATATTTCTAAACAATTTTGTTTTTATTTTTAATTATTTAAATTTTAATTAAAAATAAATTTTATGAAAAAACTCATGTTAAATTTTACTTTTAAGTTATATTTTTCAAAGTTAAAATATTCTTATCTTAAATAATTTCACATATTTAGAATTAAAATGTTTATCATTTAGTGTTTTGAGCTTAAAATATTTTATTAGTTTCATTATTATAAATGTTTACTATAAGAATTTAGTTTAAAAAGTACTCATTAAAATATTAGATGTCAAAATGCATTAAATTGAACTAATAAAAATTTACTTTTAGTATTTATTCATAAAAATAATTTATTTAACTAATAACCCTGAAAAGAAATGCAATTTATAATTTACAAAGTTTATAGTAGAGTTTATTTTTCAATTTGTCTAAGTTAGCCTAATATAATATAAACATTTTGGAAAATCGTTTTTATTTTGATAAGAGCATGCAATTAAAAAATGATCAGTATGATGAAAGTTATCTAACATTAAAGTTATCAGTAAACAGTGATGTGTTATGTATATACTATACCTAACACATCAAAGGGGCAGTTAAAAAAAAAATTATCGTGTCAAGTGGATATGTAGGATAAGGGTGATCGACTTCAAATAGTTGGGAAAAGGCGAGGAAAAAGAAGCAGTAAAAAAATTAATTTTATTAAAGTTCTATAAATATCTAATGAATAATGATTATTAAAAGATATAATATTAGATATAGAGGATTATTGGTTTATCATAAACCATTCTAATTACTACTTTTTAAAATCGTCCCTTATAACTTAAAGGGATATCAATTTTATCCTTTTTAATTGCAGCACATATATTTAAATAGCTTATAGAAAAAAAATTATCTATTTAAGAAAATAGAAATAAGAAAACTGGTCGATAACAAATTTTGGACCAATATTTCAGAAGTTCTTAACAATTTTTTACCTAGGCGGGACGAAGAGTACGGTCATGAAATGACTAGTGATAAAAGTATCAACACCTACCTTAATCTCCAGTTTATACTTTAAATTATTAATAACTTTTGAAACACTGATTCAAAAGTTCTTATCAATCATTGATTTTTGTAATTAAATTATGTCTTATTTTATAAGCTTGTAAAATATGTATTTTGTTATAAAAAAAAAACTTGACACCCCTTTCATGTAGAAGAGATGATTATAGAAAATAATTATTAGCTAATAAATATGCAACTAAAATAAATCAAAATTTTTTTCCAATATTGTATTTATCTTGTGAGTAAACAAATGGTTTATGATAAACCGGTCACTTTGTATATATGATGTATATGTATGAATTGTCTATGTTCAAGTAACTTTAATAATATCAAATATAAGCGACATGTAGATGGAAAATTCATAAAAACAAATTATTGTTTAATAATAAGATTTTATACAAAAAATTATTGTTGCTATAATTTGATCGAATTCGTATAGTTTTGATTCCATTCCAAATGTTGAGATTTTTATTGAAATTTTAGGATATTTTTAAGATATTACTACCTAGCTTTGCAAAAATATAATATTTTAAATTGAAAAAAACTCTGGAGAAAACGAGTTTATTTTTTAAAATTTTCTGAAATGTTCAAATGCTTGCTCAATAGTTTTCTGATGTCACACAATACAGTACTTTAATTTTTTCAATAAAATAAAATTAGATTGACACAAATATATTAAATATTTATCAAAGGGTTATTTTTCTGAATCTTAAATATACAGGTTGTATAAAATAATAAATTTTTTGAATAGAAAAATATAAAATAAAATCCAATTACATTAACGTATGTTAAGGGGTTTAAATTTTAACTATTTTTCAAAAGCTAATATGTCAGTTTTGGCAATTTTTCAGGAGAATAAAATTAAATAAAAAATGTCAATTTCTATGTTTGAAGTGTTGTAATGTCATAAATTCAAAGGTGAACCGTTTATAAATTTTGTTATGTCTACTTATTTATTTTTTTATTGCGCAAGAGAATGCACGAATGAACCTTTTTCTGATACAGTGGTGTCAATAAGTTATTATTTTTTCTGCTAACTGCTAGATAAGGAGACAAAAAAGAGTAAATATAATTAAAATACAATTGTTTATCGGTACCTCCTAAAAAGACTGGCCGTTATCGATTCGAAATTGTCGTTAGATCGGTGTTGACTATTCATATTTCTTCTGTCATTCACCGAGCTAAAGTGAAAATGTTTCTTGTTTTATTGTCACTATTATTTTCAATGATGGAGTAGAGCCACGAACGGACAGGCCTTTTCGGCGAAGCATCCAGACCATTGGGTAGGTCTTTTCGAAGATCGGGCATCGTTTTCTTTTTTATAATTATATTTATGTAATGAGTTGAAGTTAAAAAAATCATAGAAAGTAAGAAAAAGCAATTCAAAGTATGGCAGAAGAGCAAAAGGAGAGAAGACCGGATGGAGTATAAGAGTAAAAGTAAGACAGAGTATATAGAGTACAAGTTTGACAAAGGAGAACACAAGGTAGATGAAATGAGGTCAGTGACAATAGGCGAGGATGTGGTTGGAGAGGTGGAGAGTTTTAAGTATTTAGGGTCAGTTGTGTAAAAAAGTGGTGATATTGACGAGGATGTAAGACAAAGAATTAAGTGCGGGTAGTTAAAGTGGAGAGAATGCCTTATTCACGGGGTCTTTTCTTCGTTGACTAGATTTTACGTAAATTGGTCCCGCGAAATCAATACCTGTTTTAAGGAACGCCCGGGACGGTACTAACCGCTCAGCGGGTAGATTACCTATGATCAGCTTAACTACAACGGGTCTATATTTAAAGCATGGTACACAAGCCCGCGTTACCTGGTGCGCAATATTGCGTCCATTTAGTGGCCAATATTTTAAACGGATCGACGTCAACATAGATTGCATAAGTTTTAAATGCTCGTTAACAAATACTAATTTTGTGTAATCATACTTAGCCGGCAATATAACTGGATGACGCTGTAACGGACTCAAATTAACCGCTTTTCGTAAACGACCGCGCCACCCTGAGCACGCCCTTCTTATCTAAGAACGGATTTAAACGCACTAAATTACATTTTGATTTTATTGTACGTAGTTTTTGAATAGTTTGTATTTTTTCACCAAAGTAATACTTTTGAATAACTTTTATTATGCATATAATCGCCTTATCAATTTCATCAGCCTGCACAGGTCCGTACAGATACTTTACTTTACGTGTTTTAACCAACTCATTATTCACAAACCGATAACAATATGCTAAAACGCGTTGCAATTTTGTTAGTGACGAATATTTATTTAAAATTGACAAGTCATGACTAACCGCCGACACCAACACTTGCGTTGTTGTGCGCTCTTCTGATGATATTTCTATTCGACGATCTTCGTCAAAAGTTGACCTGGGCCACTCAGAACTTTTCTTAACTAATCAACTGGGGCCCCTCCACCACATTAATAAATTCTTTAATTGTAGTGGGCAAATGCCACGTGAGACGACATCCGCCGGGTTGTCAGCAGTACGCACGTGATGCCATTGTGCAATGGATGTGAGCTCGTGTATTTCTCCTACTCTGTGGGCCACAAACGTTTTCCACCTAGCGGACGGCGATTTTAACCATGAAAGTACCACTGTAGAATCAAACCAATAAAAATAACTAGAAATATTTAAGCGTAAACTGCGCCCATACTTATTTGCTAACCGTGCTAATAATACGGCTGCTAACAGTTCGAGTTGTGGCAGTGACACAGTTTTGAGCAGGGCGACGCGAGACTTGGAACAAATTAAATTTACAACACACAGACCATCGTTTTGTATTACACGTAAGTACAAGCATGCACTGTACGCCGTAAGTGATGCATTCGCGAACCCGTGTATCTCAATCTCGCTTATACTGCCATTACCGACTACTCGCCTTGATATTACTAATGTGTTTATTACACATAATTTTTCACGGCTTTCTTTCCACTCGCTTTCTATATTTTTGGGTACCTTATTATCCCATCCGATTTTGAATTAAAATTTTAAATCTAATGACCACTGGATTTATTAGTCCCAACGGATCGAAAATTGCCGCTATTTCAGCCAGAATAGAACGCTTTGTAATTGGAACATCTTTATTGTATTCTCTTGCCATGTACTGATATGAATCATTGTTTTTGTTCCAGTACATACCTAATCTTTTGGTTACTATATTTTCTGGTACTGTATTACTATCATGTTGATTTCCAGAATGCTCTAAACTAGTCAGTAATATACCAGATTCGTTGCTACCCCACTTCCTCAACTCAAATCCAGTTTTACCCAAAACGGTAATTAGATTGTAACGCAGTTGACATACTTCTCTCTTCGTGTTCGCTCCTCTCAAAAAGTCATCAACATAAAAATCTTGACATATCGATTGATAGGCTTCAAAATACTGTTTCTTCTCGTCAGCGGCCAGCTTCTCCAAACAAGCCACCGCTAAGTACGAAGAGGTTATCACTCCATAGGTAATAGTCTTGAGGCAAAGAATATTAATAGGCTGGCTTGGATTTTCTTGCCATAATATTGTTTGATTGCGATTCCGATACCCACACTTGCCAGTACATTTTTTTAAGTCCGCCGTAAGGACATATCTATGAGTACGGAATCTCGCCATTATAGTAACTAACTCTTCCTGAATACAAGGACCTTTCAATAGTACCTCGTTTAAACTCACCCCTGTGTCTGTTTTCGCAGATGCGTCGAACACCAATCGCAACCTTGTACTCGTACTGTGCTCATTAATTACCGCATGGTGAGGCATGTAATAACAACGCTCTTCTTCTATAGACGATCGCGCTTTTTCTGTATGCCTTAGCATAATATATTCGTCAATAAATCTTTTGTATGACACTTTAAGCTGAGGGTCAGCCTGATGTCGCTTTTCTAAAGACGCAAGACCATGTGATATGATTTACCCAGCATAGATGGGTCTTTAAATGGTAGTACAGCTGTAAATCTGCCATCTGTTGAGCGATAAACATTAAATTCATAATTC